GCCCATGGTTTTACTTGTGAAATCCCACTAAAATATGCCAAATCCTGACAAATGAAGACCAACAACTAGTTAGCGTCGTCATATAGATGAAGTATGAATTTTAAATTTTGGTCTGGAATAGAAATTCTATATATTTTTTGGCTTTCATATTAACGATAATAATTTAATTTAAACAGAACTGGGTATCAATTCTTGACTCTCGCTTTTAGTATAAGATGTTGTCTGTGGTGTGTTTTGTTGCTGTTGTTGTTTTGGAGTAAGCTGTATTTTTGTTTCACTGAGATGGTTTTACGGCTGGGACAGCCGTGAATTCCCTAAGGGCAATTCTGCGTGGTTGGGGGATATTGTAACGCGTTATTTTTACCTTTTGATAAAACCGTTTAAATCTATTTTGGGAAGTCTTCACAGCGTTATCTCTCTCTTTTTTTGTTAGTACTATAAACACTACACGAAAAGCGCATTTGTTTATGGGTTGCCAAGTCAAACGAGTCAGATTGATAAGAAAAATAATTGTTCTTTTCCGCAGATTTGGAAATACAGTTTTGGGTTTTTCAAGGAAAATAGTTGTGCAAGGGGAATTGTTTTGATAGGAAATTGTTAGTTCTCATAGTGCTAGTAAGCGGTGATCGTTTGGTCCAAGTTTCATTATAATTTTGTGAAGTTGTGATTCTCAATCGAGACGGAGCGGTGACGGTATTTCGTATGAGTTGGTAGAATTTTTGGAAGGTTGCCGTTCCTTTTTGATATAGTAGAAATGCATTAATAAGTCGGATTTTAATTCCTTTTTCGATCGGGCCGGCGCGAAGAAAAGACGCTCATCACCTCCAGGTAAATGGAATGCAAATGGCGGATGTTACCGTGGAGCTTACTTAGCGAAGTCTTATTCGATTTCCTTTATTTCAGTTGATTTGGAACGACACGCTCCCGATTTGAAGAGGACCGTGAGCCGTTGCCATATTCTATGGGAAAAATATTCTTTGCGCGCTTCGAAGATTCTGGAACAGCTGGTGAGTAGATAAAATTGTGTGGGAGTTTTTCTTTTAAATACAGCTAATTAGTGAGTTTGAACAGTTCGGTAATTCCGTGTTGCGTTATTTTACAGTGAATAATTATACATTGTGGTGAAGTGAGCTGAAAAATCCGCGCTGGACCGAATGCCGTTCTGCCCTGCCTGACCCGTTGCGCGCTGAGGCGCGAAGTGTGCTACAAAACCTCCACTGGTAAGTGTGTTTTTATAAAATTCTGTTAGGGATTTTTAGGTTGATTCTTTATAGCCCTTCTGGCTGAAATCATGTTCTGGTCCGTGTCTACGTGAAGTGTTTTATTGTCAACAGGAGGTCCTTTGTATACCTACCTAGCTGTCCGTGGACTTCTATCACGCTAGCGTAGAAGCCTTTCCAGTCGGACCCAGAAATTTGTGAGCTAGCCTCGAACTTTTTTATTATTTTGCTTCGCGTTTTACTTTCGGCTATTTTATAAATTTAACTGTAATTACATTTTATTGTGACGTACTGATCGCACTAAGTATATGTAGGCTTTTATTTAGAACCCATGCCCTTTGAGATTGTTGCTACAGACAGTTGATACTAATATTTTATTACTAAGATAACTATTTTATTTTGGCCTATGATACAGGTCTGGCGCCCATAATTGAATATAATTTATAACCTATTTCTTAACTAAATGGATCTTATTGCATAACTGTGTATGTGAACTAATCATGGAACTATCTCAGTGAAATAAAACAGCCAGTCATCTTTTGGAAGTCTCATCTTTTATTTCTTACCCACAAGTACAGTACGCGCATGAGTTCATGACCATGTTGAGGAATGCGGTAGTGCTGTGACTAATTCATGTTGATGTCGATATCGAGAATTGTTGCCGAACAGTTCAGTTCAGACTACTCATAGTTATTAGTTAATGGGTTGTTTTTCCTACAATATTGAGTAGGTAGGGTATCGTTGAATAGGTCTTTATAAACTAAGGGCAGGTTTCTTTAAAACAAAGTAACTAAAATGTATATGTCTCGAGACATTTGCTTATTAAAGGGGCCTTTTTAACCATAATTTGTTCGAACTGTAACTTCACTGTTTGTCAATAATATTAAAGAAGTATTTATGGTTTCTACACAAAACACAACATAACGACAAAATATCGACAACTTTGTGACACACTTTTTTCCCATCACTCGACTGCGGGCGAATGCGGGTAGTTGGGTATCCGCAGGGCGCGCCGCCCCCGCGCGCCTCCTCATTCCCCGATGGCCAAGAACTCATGCGCGTACTGTAGGTACTTCTCACTCCGGGAAATTCATTAAGTTTCAAAACGGAAAAGGAGCTTAAACTGGCCGCAGCAGTAAAACAGACTGACCCGCAGACGTATTGCGAGCGAAGCGAGCTCGACTTTTCACAACATAAACGGGCGAGGAGCTTAAACTAGCCGCAGCAGTAAAATCGACAGACCCGTAGACGTATTGCGAGTGAAGCGAGCTCGAATTTTCACATCGTTAACGGACGAAGAGCTTAAACTGGCCGCAGCAGCAAAACAGACTGACCCGTAGACGTATTGCGATAGAAGCGAGCTCGACTTTTTGTAACATAAACAGGCGAGGAGCTTAAACTAGCCGCAGCAGTAAAATCAACAGACCTGTAAACGTATTGCGAGCGAAGCGAGCTCGACTTTTCACGTTAAATTTAGTTAGGTGCAAGCAGCTTTAAGAAGGAAAGGTGGCGCCTGACTGACTGCAAGAGGGCGCCAGAGCTGTGCATTTCTTTTTACTTTTGCGAAGGTTGACTAACGCCGCCCCCCTGAGACTTGTGCCCTGGGGCACGTGCCCCACTTGCCCCTATGGTAAATACGCCCCTGGTTACTTTACAAGCGATGTGACTCACCGTCCGTGCACAAAAGTTGTAGATCGTCAGGCAACAAGTCGCGCGCCCACCACTCGCGGCGACGCCCTCCGGACACCTGAAAACCATTGCAATAGATTTAGCGGTTCAAATCCTGTCTGCGGTGGAAAATTTTGCAAGCTTTCCAAAAACCATGAGGGAATATTGACAAACTAAGCAAATAGGCCCGTCCACACCAATCGAGACTGCCTCGCGCGGCAAACGACCAAAAAAATTACGTGGCTCACCCGAGGCAACGCATGCTCGTGCTCGGCTGAACGCGCGCGGGCCGAGCCAAAATCAACGCGCCTCAGAAGTTTGAGTATTAATTTATCTACACTCAGTTCGTAATATTCGTTTTACAGAATCGAAAGTACGAACGTAATGAACTGCATTACGAATATACAGCCTTTAAAAAAAAACTTTCATACTACTGGCAGCTACATAAAGTAACTCGATTTCTAGTATTTGAAAAAAAATTAAACGAATTGACCCGCGTACCAATTGTAATCTGTTCCAATTTGACACTGGCCATCAGTAAGTCGAATGAAAAAAAAAACAAGTGTCACCCGCGGCAGGACGACACTTGAAATTATGAGGACTTATTTATTATTAAATCTTTGCTTCAAATCATTTTTCGAATTAAAATTCACCGATAAATGCTATTTAATTTTAAAAGTTGTTCAGTTTTTATGAGCCTTTATTTTAACGTTTAGTTAAAAATCATAACAGGTAATGGTTAGTTAAAAAGTTACTTATGTACAAAAGTCGTTCAGTTGGTGGTTCAGTAGATAGGCTTGCAATCGCCCTAGTGCAGTGCGGAGGTTTGAATTATTTTTCATAGTTTTTTTTGTAGAGTGTAGATAAAATAGTGTATGCAACTGCAAATAATTAGGCTTTAGAATGCTCGTGTCAAACTATTATCACACTCGGCTGCGCCTCGTGTGATAAACAGACACTCTCATCCTAAAGCCTCTCATTATTAGGCAGTTGCATAAACTACTATTATTAGGCGTCTAAATTGGGCCGAACTTGGCCCGCCTGCGCATGAACGTATGCCGCGCGAGGAAGCGAGCAGAGCCTTTTTACTACCCAAAGTGAAATAAACGTACCTAATGTAATTGATACAAAAACCACACAAGCAAAATTACCTCAGCGGGAGCGGTGTGTCTGACAAATGCTACATCGCCGCCTCCTTCCACCATGCAACGTAAAGCTCCCACATGGCCGTAGTAGTCTTCACTTGCGTCGCGACGGCACCGTCTGCAATAAAAACACACCGCACGTTTTAAGAGTAGAACACACCGCATCCGTATGCAGGACGTATGCGTGCGCGCCATCACGCAAAAAACCTGATCAACTGGGACTGTGGATCTTTACCCCAGTCAGTTGCACATCTGATCTCCTGCTCTCTATTGCCAACGTCGTGTACTAAAGAAGACCTGAATGAAGCTTCCGGGAATTGGGTAGAGGTAGCCAAATATTAGCAATACAAAATTTAATCTACGATCTTAGGACCAGTGACACGAAGAAGGAGAATCACGCGCGTAACGGTTGTAATGTATGGGATTGTATGAGAGGCGGCACACTTCCTGCGTATGCGTGCACGTCATCACGCGCGTACCGCAGTGTGCCGTGACTAATACGATCCCATGCATAACCACTTCATAGTTACGCGCGTGATGGGGTGTTTAAGGGTCCCGTAGACCGGATGCAGCACAATCAACGCGCACGCATTGGGATTGTATTCTATGGAATGGAGATGTATGACACATGTCAGACCGGGCTCTGCGTTGCGTTCTGTCTGCGTCGTATAGACGCGCACGCCACGTATTCTGGTGTGGCAACCTTCGTACAACTCCATACATTGCAACCGTTGGGTGCGGACGGAACGCAACGCGTGCCGCATCCGGTCTGCGGGAGTCTTTGATCTCGTAGTAAATAAAGTTCATTGACCTCTCATTCAAACTAACATAAAATATGATTGCGGAATGAAACTCATCTCAAACTCAAATCATGATTTTAATGACGCCAGCAGCAATAGGTTTTATTTTTTGTAGGTGTGACGTCACGGGGATGAATGCAGTTGCAATTTTCGTCATCATTTTCAAGGACCCGTTAGCTCAGCGGTGAGAGCATCCAACTAAGTGTATATCACTTGGAGAAGGTCGGAGGTTCAAATCCTTCACGGGTTGTATAATTTTCGTTTTTTTTTCTACAAAATATATTTTTTAAGTATTTTATATTGAAGATCTTTGAAAGACTCGAAAGTTATGAAATTTGATTGGCGCACGAATGAAAGCAGTTGCAATTTTCGTCAGCACTTACTAATAATAAAAAGGACAGAATGTGTGCTTTTTGTTTGTACGTAATGTAATCGATAAACTCTGAAACTACTAGACCAATTTCGAAGATTCTTTTCACTAATAGAAAGGTACATTAACCCTGAGTAGCGTAGGCTACTTTTTTGTATGAGAAAAATATTTATTCTCACGGGAAAATAGTAAGCTGTGGGTTAAACCGTTGGGCTACCCTCTAGCATAAAATATTTTTTAATGATTTCATTAGAAACTCTTTGTTAGGTCCTACATCCAGGCTGGCAGCATAGGCTTTATTTTTCTTTTATAGCTATGACGTCACGGGGATGAATGCAGTTGCTAATTTCGTCAAGGCTTCCAAGGACCCGTTAGCTCAGCGGTGAGAGCATCCAACTAAGTGACTCATACTTAACCGTATATCACTTGGAGAAGGTCGGAGGTTCAAATCCTTCACGGGTTGTATATTTTTTATTTTTTTCCGAACATTTTAATTTTATTTCTGATATAGGTAAACATTTATTTTGCAATTGAGCTAGATTAAAAAAACTATAGATAACCATGAAGCATATTTTTTAGTAGTTTTTTAGGGTTTCGTAGTCTACTAGAAACCCTTATAGTTTCGTCATGTCTGTCTGTCTGTCTGTCTGTCTGTCTGTCTGTCTGTCTGTCTGTATGCCGCGCCCTCATATCTTCGTCAGTTTTAGAGCTATCGACATGAAATTTGGTGAGAAGATAGATCGTGTCGACCCAAATATAGAAATGTTAAGAAAAAAATATTTAAAATGTTTTTTGGACCCCCTCCCATACAAGTGAAAGGGGGGCAAAAAATCTTTTTTTCTTCTGTAATATTGAGTAGGGTATCGTTGAATAGGTCTTTTAAAATTAAGGTGAGGTTTCTTTGAAACAAATTCTCTAAAATGTTTCTGTCACGAGATATTTGCTTTGAAAAAGGGCGTTTTTGACCCATAATTTGTTCCAGCTGTAACTTCTAAAGTATAAACGCAAAAAATTTGAAATAAATATGGAATATAGCTTACAATCTGAAGTTACAATGAAAACTATAACGGATATCGTACCCTTAAAGGTTTCAGGAAAAATCGAGTATTTCTATTTGCGGTTGGTCATCATACTGCTGCTAACAAACCAGCAACAAAATTAAGTGTGTAATGCTGAAAAACCTGATATTTAAACGTTGACTACGAAACCCTATTTGTGGGCGTGTCTGACACGCTCTTGGCCGGTTTTTTATTCCTTTGGATGACAGTGGTTGGTATTTTTGCAGAGAGGCGACGGATCTTATGCTGGTCATATAGAAACCAATGAATTAATTACCGACAATAACTAACCACAAAGATTATTGAAATCTAATAAAATAGATAGGAATTGGTATCCATGAGTTATGGATGCCGAAATTGCTAAAAGTAGCTTAATTTTTCCCAAGATTTCACAAATTTCAAAAATTCTTCGTTGTTAGTGATTGTCGTTCATTCATAATGTTGTTTCCCAATCACTAATGTCGCTGACGTTAAGCCTGCCGTGCGCGGCCTTCCTGCGGGGTACAAACGGGTGGGGGAGCAAGGAAGCACGTACATCATTCCAATATGACGTGCGGTGTGGATGCACGTGTGTCCCTTCCTCGCTACACCTGCCGCTACCCGCTTACGTCTTGGATATCTCGTCCCTCCCACCCTCTGTCACCCCTAGGGAAAGTCGCGCACGAACCTGTCGGGCTATAGTAGGTGCGCTTACCTGTAAGACGCGCCGTGGCAGAGGTGACACAGATTATCGTGTGGCACGGTGTCTGAGTCCACGTATTCCGAGCTCAGTGCTCCGGGGGCACACGATTTGGTGAAGTATTCTACAGCCGCGTGCGACAAAAGTACTGTAGGTAGATACTAACTACTCTACTGTAGATTGTTACGGAAGTGATTACCTGTAAGACGCGCCGTGGCAGAGATGACATAGATTATCGTGTGGCACGGTGTCTGAGTCCACGTATTCCGAGCTCAGTGCTCCGGGGGCGCACGATTTGGTGAAGTATTCTGCAGCCGCGTGCGGAAGAAGTACTGTAGGTAGATAATAACTACTCTACTGTAGATTGTTATGGGCGTGCTGACCTGTAAGACGCGCCGTGGCAGAGGTGACATAGATTATCGTGTGGCACGGTGTCTGAGTCCACGTATTCCGAGCTCAGTGCTCCGGGGGCACACGATTTGATGAAGTATTCTGCTGCCGCGTGCGAAAAAACTACTGAAGATAGATATGCAACTAACTAACTACTGTGGATTTTTATAGGCGTGCTTACCTGTAAGATGCGCCGTGACAGAGATGACATAGGTTATCGTGTGGCACAGTGTCTGAGTCCACGTATTCTGAGCTCAGTGCTCCGGGGGCACACGATTTGGTGAAGTATTCTGCAGCCGCGTGCTATAAAAGTACTGTAGGTAGATACTAAACTAACTACTGTAGATAGTTATGGGCGTGCTTACCTGTAAGACGCGCCGTGGCAGAGGTGACACAGGTTGTCATGTGGCACGGTGTCTCGAGTCCACGTATTCCGAGCTCAGTGCTCCGGGGGCACACGATTTGGTGAAGTATTCTGCAGCCGCGTGCTATAAAAGTACTGTAGGTAGATACTAAACTAACTACTGTAGATAGTTATGGGCGTGCTGACCTGTAAGACGCGCCGTGGCAGAGATGACATAGGTTATCGTGTGGCACAGTGTCCGAGTCCACATATTCCGAGCTCAGTGCTCCGGGGGCGCACGACTTGGTAAAGTATTCTGCAGCCGCGTGCTATAAAAGTACTGTAGGTAAATACTAACTACTCTACTGTAGATAGTTATGGGCGTGCTGACCTGTAAGACGCGCCGTGGCAGAGATGACATAGGTTATCGTGTGGCACAGTGTCCGAGTCCACATATTCCGAGCTCAGTGCTCCGGGGGCGCACGACTTGGTAAAGTATTCTGCAGCCGCGTGCTATAAAAGTACTGTAGGTAAATACTAACTACTCTACTGTAGATAGTTATGGGCGTGCTGACCTGTAAGACGCGCCGTGGCAGAGATGACATAGGTTATCGTGTGGCACAGTGTCCGAGTCCACATATTCTGAGCTCAGTGCTCCGGGGGCGCACGATTTGGTGAAGTATTCTGCGGCCGCGTGCGCGCCGTCGCAGCCGTAAGGCCTGAAAAAATAAAGGTCATCAAATTAAATTCTTCAATCGCTAGGTAACGAGCATCAAGACAAGAGAAAAAAAATTGCATTCATCAATCGGTGCAACGATAGCTCAGTGATAGAGCGGTGGGGCGTTTACCCATGCGGCCCAGGTTTGATCCCCGGTAGATGCATGACATTTTTTCTATTTCTTATTTTCATTTGTGGGAATAATATGGCACTGTGAGTGTGAGTGCATTAAAATCCCAATAGAACATCAATTAAAATTCAAATACCATTCACCAAAACAAAAATATTTTGGAGAAACTAATCCGCGAGATGGCATTGTACGTCTTCATGGAATAAATGTGATTAACTGTCAAATTTTTACACGTATTCCATTTTAGTCTATGACAACGCCATCTTGCGGTTTAGCTTCTCCAAAAAACGGCCATCAAAATTCAAACACCATTTACCAACAAAATATATTGAGTTGATGAAACATGAAGAAAATAAATATTTCTTGTTTGAAAACGTATGCAATCCATCACAAAAGGTAAAAGGTATTGTGCTGAAAACCTAAAACGTCTTTTATAGAAAGCCTAAAACCTAAATAGTCTAAATAAAAAAAATCTTCTCGCTCCAAGACTGACAGACAAGACATTGCTTTACCTAATCCATCCATTCGAGATGAGGTAAGCCAGAGGGTACACCCAGCCGGCGGCGTGCCCTATCCCAGTGTGGCAGGTATTCTTTCCTCGAAGGTATGTCAGGTCTGTGTCGGGGTCTTGCTCTTTGGCCACCGCTACGGCGTAGTACCAGCTGTCGCCGGTTGAATATACCTGTTGGAAAGAGTTGGCGTGTTATCATGATTTTCATATGGTAGTTCTTCGAATTGCCGTGTAGCGCCGGCTTAGGATAGCATCACCCCGTGCCCCGTATCTCTTGCCGGGTGGTGCCGGCTTAATATAGCATCGCCCCATATGTTACTCTCAAACTTTTATCAGACGTAGTGTAAATGGTGGTTTTTTGCAGCCGTTTACGATCTGCCTACCCCGCAAGGGATATAGGCGTGATACATATATATGTTTAAATTGTTTTATTTTAAGTTTCTTTTTATGGTTTCATCAGCAATTTGGATTTGGTGTTTGTACGAAGCATGTATCATATTAGCCGCATCAAACAACGCAAAACCGCAAAATATATTCTCTTGAATACATCGCTGTTAGAGTGAGATAACTATATACACATACCACTTGCATGAAAGGGACCAAACGATGTCTGTATGAAGCATGTATCATATCAGCCGCATCAAACAGCGCGAAATCACAAGTATTCTCTTGAATACATCGTTCGCAGAGTACTCTACTGCTCATAGAGTGACATAGATAGCTAAATACATATACCTCTTGCATGAAAGGGACCAAACGATGTTTGTATGAAGCATGTATCATATCAGCCGCATCAAACAGTGCAAAATCACAAGTATTCTCTTGAATACATCGCTTACAGTAACAAATTAGATTTGGCGATAATACTGATCATAAAGTGAAATAGCTATACCGGGAGTAACGGAAAGGGTATAACAAACCGGAAGGGGGTCAAGGTACTCATGAAACTGAACAACTTTCCCCATGGAACATAGGTCGAAAAATGAAAAAAAAAAATTTGGACCTCCCACAGTAAATCAATCAGCTGATCGGCGATTTTGTATGGGAGATTGGGAGGTCCAAATTTTCCTTTCATATTTCGACCCATGTTCCACGGGGAAAGTTGTTCAGTCTCATGAGTACCTTGACCTTTCGGCTTGTTATACCCTTTCCGTTACTCCTTGTATACACATACCTCTTGCATGAAAGGAACCAAGCGATGTTTGTACGACGCGTGTATCATATCAGCCGCATCAAACAGCGCGAAATCGCAGGTATTCTCTTGAATACATCGCTCGCAGTGCCGCGCGCTGTGTCCGCGCCAACAAACTAATGTGGGCGATAAGAAGGCTGCTTTTAAAGCGATCTGGAAAGAAAACATGGTTTTGTAAATACGCATTGACAGTGGTCGTATTCAGAAGGAAATCCAAATAAATTGCGACATCGAAGTCATTAAATTTGAAGCCAATTCTATTCGATTCTTTTCTATTTAACACATTTTTTCATAAACTGACGTAGCTGCTTTCAATAAGTTTCAGATTGGCATCGACAAAAATATTGGTGAGGTATCTATCACGAAGGGTTTATACCGATTCCCATCGGCTTCCCTTTCAGAAACTAACAAATCCATACTCTCATATGAATTTACTTTCATT